CTGTTTAAGAACTGAAAATTGGTGCCTGATTTCCTATGATTCCCTTCCACCCTGAGCCTCATGCAGGTGCACTGTATGTATCAGTATTCAGCCAACTTGCTCTCTTTTTTGGTAGCCCTGGTGAACCCAGGATGTCACATGTGCTAAGCATACCCTTGACCACTGGGCCACATCCCCGCCCAGCCAAACACCTGAGAAGATCTTCTGTAGCTATTCAAAGCTGTGTCATTTCCTCACGTGTGGTATTCTGGTTTTCAATGTCTAGCCAAATCCTACTCTATCAGCTCTAATATCTTTCTTTTGCCTTTCAGTCAATGCTGGCTCTGGGCTCCTTCCAAGCATGCTTCTTATAAAGAAATGACCTTGGGGCTGGGGATTTAGCTCAGCAGCATAAGCGCCTGCCTTGCAAGCAGGTGGTCGTGAGTTCGATCCCTGGTACCGATAAAAAGTGAAAAAGACAAAAAAAAAAAAAAAAGACCTTGCCAGGCGTGGTGGTTATTCCATGTTATCCAGCACTCAGGAAGCTGAGGCAGGAGCATTACAGCCAGCCAGGGCTACATACTGAGTTCAAGACCAGCTTGAACCACGTGGTGAGATCCTGTTGAAAGAAAGAAAGAAACGGAAAAAACTTCTGAGCAGTGAGCTGAGGCAGCATTGGGCTTGCACTACAAAATCCGGCACTACTTGCTTTTCTTTTCTTTCTTTTTTTTTTTTTTTTAACTTTTTATCGGTACCAGGGATCGAACTCACGACTGCCTGCTTGCAAGGCAGGTGCTTATGCCGCTGAGCTAAATCCCCAGCTCCACTACTTGCTTTTCAATGTCTAGAATATTTCTTTTTAAAATTTTGACTGGTTTTATAGCTGTTTGTAGTGGAAGGGCAATTTCTGTAGCTAAAATTTCCCCATGGGTGGAAAGAGAAGTGTTCTGTGTTTTTCAATTGGAAACAACTACTTGGAAGCTGTGTCTCTAAAAGAAAGGACCCTGAAACAACCTGACAAGAATATAAAGGTAACAATTACCCTTATCCTAGCCCATAGAGACCTACTACCTGTTATGGACATAACACACACTGGAGAGAGGAATATCTAACATCTCAGGAATTGTGATGTTGGGTGGTGCCTGGAATCCCAGCCGTGGGAGGCTAGGCAGGAGGATCATTGTGAGCTCAAGGCCAGTTTGAACTGCATAGCAAGACCCTGTCTCAAAAAAATAGAACTGTGAGTCCTACCGACACTGGCACTTCAGGATCTGAAGCACCACTATGGACTTCTCTTAGAGTGGCAGTGTAGGGTCAAGCGTAGCTCTCAGCAGGTCTGCTGTATTCACAGACCCACCTGGTGGTTCTCTTACTAGTCTTGATGGCCACCTGCAATGGGCATACGGATGGCTGACAGAACTAGCACCAGGTGTTTTCAGTCTGTGAAGTAGATTCATGGTAGGTAGCACAGAAGGCCAACATGAGGCCTCTGAAACTGCCTCCACCTTTCAAAGGATAGGTCCTAGTGTGCTCCCGAGACCTCGCTGAGGCAAAGTGCTTGCCCATGGGACATCACTGGAAATGCCTATTAAAATTTGGGTCCTATCAGACCCAGAAGTCATAGGGTTATGTGGGTCCAGCAGCAATATTTTTTTTGGATACTGGGAACTGAACACACAACCTCATGCTTGTGCTGCTGAGCTATATTCCCAGCCTCAAACAACAATTCTTTATAAGATGAAAGTATTATGTGTAGAACTGACTCAAGCAGGGATAAAAGGTGAGGTGGGCTCACAGGTGACCACATTTCCTGTTATCCCTCACTGTCTTCCCAGTGCTTCTCCCTCAGTTTATGCCTATAGTCAAGTGGACTGAGGAAGACAGATACCTCATGACCTGACACAAGAGAAAGAGCATGGTTAGTGCAAGGGTTGTCTCAGAGGGTGGAAGTAAGGAGAAAGCTTGCTGGCGGACCATGGCCCCACTCAGGTGACTCTGAAAGACACAGTGCACCTGCTCAAGTGAGAACACTAATAGGGTAATGGGCAACAGTGAATGGCTTAGTTGGTCGATTAGAAGCCTGGAAGAAGAAAACAATGGCAAATTTAAAACAAGTCTGAGAAAAAGCTCATGGCGTGGCTGAGCATGGGTATAAAATGTTACACACGTGTGTTATTTGTTGATGCCCAATAGTGAATATCTCACCTACCACAGCAAAGGCACCCAACTACCAAGGAGACTGAGGACCTAGTAATGTCAGTGAGCCTCTGTGGTGGGTACCTCGAGGCTGGCAAAATGCACATGAGCAGAAGCAGCACGGTGGAAGTATGCACAGGCCACTTCCTGGTCTCAGGTGACCTAACTGCAGCTGTCATGAATGTCTAACTTGTTGGAAAGACCGAAACAACCTATGTTTCATCCAGAAAACCACCCACCCACTTGCTGGCGAGTTACTACCTTGGAAGGGACAGTGTTCCATCTTGATTGGGAAGCGATGCTTATTTTGGGTAGAGTTTGCCTTTCCCACCTGTAGCACTTACAGAATTTGAACCATTGGCATGAGAAAGAACATTACTTTGGCCCATGAGGGGTACAGCCCTGGGGACACAATGTGGGATGTGCTGGTCTTTTTACAGACCACGCTGCCTAGAAGCCGCCCCTCAACAGTGACAGAACAGCCTGTTGCCGGCACCAGTAGGGCACTGGCCCAGGAATGATACCCCACGACCGTCCAGGATTCTTTACATAGCCCGGAGCAGCAGCTGCTACGTGCTGGTGCCGTATGACTAAGCAAAATTCATGGGCCTTGGAAAAACAAGGGGTGAATGGAGGAACAGCCCATGTTGGCATCACTCCTTGGGACTTCACTGGAGAACGTGTCCCTCCTAGCCAAGCTCTGGCTCTGAGCATTTGAAAGTGCTGGTTCTCAAATGGTTCTGCCAGTGCTGCCACAAGTGGTAACTCCAAAGTCTTGTTTACCTTTAAGCTCTGGCTGCCACCACACTGGGAGGTAAGGCAAAGTCACTACCTTGACAGGAGTAAATCACCTTGATCACTGGTGTAGGGCTGCTGTTACACAGTGGGAACAAGGAAAGATATACTTGGTACCAGGCCTCTTACCTATCTCACTTTCCTCTTGCCCAGTTTTATTAGTGTATGCTTGTGATACATGATAGTTATATTCACTTTGGGGAAATTAACACATAAATATTTTTATCCCCCCGACTACCCTTCCTCTCTTGCCTTTTTTTTGAGACAGGGTCTCACTATATAGTTCAAGGCTGGCCTTGAACTTGCACCAATCTTCCAGCCTCAGCCTCCTGAGTACTCAGATTACAGGTGTATACTGGCACACCTGGCTTGCCCCTGCTTTCAAGACAGATGGACAACTGCAGCCTGAAAAGACCAGGATGGTCAGGCACTTAATCAGGTAATCCACCCTGGGCCAGCAGAAGTACAAATCTAAGGTGGTCAGTGAAGGAAATGAGAGATGAATACCACTATAGACTCAAAACAAGCTACACAGCAAGGGCCGGCTCACCTGTCCCAAACTCCCCAACTCCAGTACTGGAGACTGAACCAGAAATCTTCACATGCTAGGCAAGTGCTCTACCACTGAGCTACATCCCCAGCCCTTTTTGAGGCAGAGTTTCATTAAGTTGCCCAGGTTAAAGTTGTGATTCTCCTGCTTCAGCCTCCTGAGTAGCTGGCATTCCAGGCATGCCTGAGTTTTAAAAATTTCCCAAGAGCCATGAGAATCCTGAAGGAACCATTCAAGAACTTAAATGGTGCTGAGCAGTATGAGGGAACCACAGCGTGACTATGGTGTGCTGCCCTTGTTCAGAAACAAAGCATTACTTCTCAAGCTGCTGAGAACACTGCCAGCTCTTACCTGAGTCCCATCCAGGAAATGCCTTTGACTGTGGCCAGCTCCTTCATGCAAGGCCATGCCCCTTTCACAGTCAACCAGTGCTACACAGGTCCAACCCACTGACCTACTGGGGCATCCTGCTCCAAGCTTCCTGTGGGATCAACTGATGGCTTTGTTCAGACAGCATCAACTCAACTTCTCTCTGTAACTAAACCTGCTCTTCTGTTCCCTACCGGTGTTAATCCTGTATTCCCTCAAATAAACTTCCAAGGACAAATGGACAAATCGCTGTTTTTGCTAAGAACTCAACTGACAAGTATTTCAAGATTTACTAAGATTAGTTGTATGAAATGTGCCTGTTGCATTATTTCAGACAGCATTGTGACAGTGGTAACACTGAAAAATCCTGTTAAAGCCTTCAAAATCAGGTGAGGTGGTGCATGCCTGTAATCCCAGCACTTGGGAGGCTGAAGTAGGAGGGTCAGCAGAAGTTCAAGGCCACACTTGGTTAAGTTACACAACAAGTTCAAGGCCAGTTTGGATTACATAGCAAGACTATCTCAAACAACAACAAAGCCTTCTAAGATAGTAGGGATAGGAATCACTGAAATGGCAAATTTCAGAAGTATCACACTGGGTGGGAGCTCTGAGAGTTCTGGCAACTGTGACAGGGCAAGCACTACTCTCAGTGCAACCACTGACCCCAGGCCTCTCCTTAGCTGGGATGGGATGAATGTATTTAGCTGGCTCACTGAAGGTGAGTGAACTCAGACAGAAACCAGTCTCTCTGAGCTCCTGGTTAAGGACAACAAAGGAGTGAAAGTCTCACTTTCACCTCGCTATACTGCATGACTTCATGCTATATCTGAATGACTATGGCATGACACACATCAATGATCCTTTCTATAGAGGACCTTGTGTTTACATAGATCTATTTCTCTCATCTACCAGCAAAACAAGACATTTATTCCAGAATGATATAATGACCTCCATATTTTAACCTTGCCTAACTCCTGATCCTCCAGCCTCAGTCTCCTGGAGTCCAGCTACCAGTGACCCTACTTAAGTGTCTTTCATCTCAGGTTCATTTTTCCATCACACACCCTTAGACTTTATTCAGATCTCCTCAGAGAAGCAGAACTCACTGTGCTTGTTGACACTGATGACTTTATCAATATATCTAATGAGAATGAGTTTTAAGACCAATGGCAATCAGCTGAGAGTAATCTGCTAATAGCAACTGTGAGATATACAAACCTAACATATTCTCCCACTCCCTCTTTTTTAGCTGCAAACTTAAATGGATAAAGACTCACTTTAATGTTCTTTCTCCAGTCTACTTAAGCCCTAAATTACACCTTAAAAAAACAAAAAACAAAAAAACCAAATTCCACATTTTAAAACTTCTGCTTGAAATACAATGTTGAGTTTAGATGACAAAACCAAGCCAAGTACTACTAGACACAGTGTCTTTCTCATCCATTTGTAGCAATGGATTCCAGCGGAGGAAGAGGCTAAGTGGCATCTAGACTGCTTGAATCCAGTCACATTGGTTCTTCTTGAGCACAACTGCCCCAACAAAGCCAGACATATCGACTGCTGAAGACAGAGATGGCAAATGTGGGGATTCCAACCGTACCTGCAGTTCAGTTGGATGTTTCCATTTGGTCTCTAAGCTTCCACATTTGCTCAAAGCTGGGAGTGCAGTCAAGTGCTGCCCCATTTTTGCTCTACTGCCGCCTGCTTCTGCTTTATGGTTTCGGTGGGTGAACAGATTCAGACTGGGAGTTGATGGGGGCCATGCCCCTGGCAGCCTGTTTGGCTAGCCAGTACTTGTATCTCTTGGTCTTGGGCTTCTCGAAGTTCACCACAGACATAGGAACTCTCACAGTGTCAAGTCCATTTACCTGAACACAAAATAAATATCTTAGGGATCAGATAGGCATTAGCTAACAGGAATCTCAACGCTTCAGGCTGATTTTCGCCCATCAGAAAAGGAACAATTCTGACACACTCACCGTCACTTCACACCAGTACTCGCCCCACTGTGTGATCGGCTCCTCTGGTAACTTCAGGGCATGTGGGGCAACAACAACACCAAGCTGTAAAACATCAGCCAAGCCAACTCTCACGGCTGCCACTTTGGGCAAGCAAACAGAGGGTTCTATAATTTCCTGAACAGGGATGAATAAAACTGGAGAGTTTACTCTGGTTGGCCCCATGGGAAGGCACAGACTTCCAGAGGTGGTAGCAGAGAAACTTAAGTCTTAATTTTGCAGAAAGAGAAGTAGACTCACAAAGAGAAAAGGCACTTGAGACCAAAACCACTTCACTCACAGAAGTAACTATTCCCCAGCAAGTTACATTATCTCCTGGCTCTCCCTAGTCACAGAAATAAATGGAAAGCATCACCTTTTCCCCCAGCAGACTTTATTTAAATCATGTGACTACCCTCAGTCCTTAGCCATCTCCCTCCCACATCCCAACCATGAATTTTTTTCCTAACTCCATCTGGATAATCACCCCCTTCCAAACAAAGTGTCCAATCCTTGGCATTTTCTGGGACAGCTTCGAACTCCATGGGTATGGTGAAGTTTTAAGAAAACTCACATTCTTTTTTTTTTTTTGTCTTTTTATTGGTACTGGGGATCGAACTCATGACTGCCTGCTTGCAAGGCAGGCGCTTATGCCGCTGAGCTAAATCCCCAGCCCAAAACTCACATTCTTGAAGAAGTGGCGAGCAACTATTTCAGAGTTCAACTCCCATCTGACATTGTTCCTCATTCCTACTTCCAGATGACAGCTTCTCAGAAATTTCACTGTCTGAAAGAATTATAAATAGACACTGAGTTAGCCGGAGTCAAAGGAAAGGAAACAATTCCAAGGGCTAAGAGTTTCAGGACAAGTGAGGAAATGAATGGGAATGATCTCAAGATTAATATGATAGATTTTAGCAATAGTTTGTAGTGGCATATCAATATCTTATTCTTAGGCAAAGAGTAAGTGAGCGCCTGTGTTATAGGTCACAATGACATACTTTTCACAGCCTGCTTTAACCCGATTCTGGCCCTTCAATCCTGTATCATATTAATGGTGCTTCCCTGATTACAGAATGGAATGATGTTCACTAGCTAAAGATTCAAGACACATCTTGTCTCACTATCCTTTTTAGTTGTAAGTTTCCTAATATCCTATACAACTTCTCTGCATTAGCTAATTTGGTCTACTTTCTATGTTTACACATACTTTCTCTCTACATTTATTCTTGGTCTTTTTTCTACATTTAAACTTCTCTCTATATTTATTTTCCCTTAAGAACACTTTTTCTATCCTTCTGACTTATTTAAAGCCTACTAACCTCAGGAGGCCTAATTTACTCCCAAAGGAAAAAAGGCCTTTCTAACTACCCCGAAACCCATTATGACTTATCGCCTTCAGTTTACTAATTATCTTCTCATGTGTGTATGTTGTCCCCATCTTGTCTATAAATATTCCATAGAGCAGCTCACCTCACATTTTTCCATGGGTCCCTGGTACCTAGACTGGGCACTCCATCAATAAGCTAGAGCACTTTACCCAGTGGGTGAGGATTTCCCATGAAGTCTCCATACCAGTTATACAGGGCAGCTACAACACTTCTTTCCCCTACCCTCGTTTGTGCAAGACTTCAAAGAAATCAGGGAGATTCTCAGTCCAGCCTCTTTAGTTGACAAGTTTCTACTTACCGCCTCACCTGCTTTGGTCTGTATCCTCTCTAATTTTCCTTCTTGTCTCATCTGGAAAAAAGTTCAAGATGAAAATAAGTAAAAGAGAAATGAGCCCATGTTAAGTAACATCAAACTCTTACTGTGGAGGCTACAGGTTGGAATTTTGGATTTCTGATCTTCAAGTCCCTATGTCATTTTCAAATTACATATTAAAGTGAAGGAAGTTGCTAGAAAAAGCCTTGAAAGTTTGAGTCTCCCAAGACTTCCTAGGGAAGCTTACCAGTTTCTCCTCTTCAAACAATTTCTTGTTTTCAGGGGATGGGTATACAGCCAGTCCCTGAGGAAGGAGTTTGTTACGACCCAAAGATTTCCTCACCGAGACCAGGTCACCCCGGACTCCAAGTTCTGCCAATGAGAACAAGAAAGACACAGAGACCCTAAATTTGATCCCTAGCACCACCAACTGTGGAGAGGGAGATGAACAAAGAGATAAATAACTGTTTTCCCCACAGAGCTCAGTCTTCCTAAGACTAAACAATGTTGGTCATATTTACTAGGAACGACACTGTGAAACACTGCTAATTAGGTTCTGTAGGATCTGACTGAGTAATGTAGACTTCCCCAAAAGGAGCAGTAAGTTGTCCCATCAGAGGATTTCACTCACTATCTGTGACACAAATTGTCAGACCTCTGCTTCCAGTTAAAATCGTGTTGCAGCATTAAGGGTTTTATATTTTCAAGAAGGAAATCAATGTCACCATCACAGTACTTTTTATTACTTTCTTTTCACATAGAGCTATCTCCACAAAATAGAGAAAGCATGGGCAAATAGACGGGGCAGGGACGGGGCGGGGACGGGGCTGGGGCGGGGGGGGGGGGAGAGAGAAAAACCTGACACCGAATAGGAGCAGCCTAAGGCGTAGTGCCTCAGGTCTGGCCTTACCCTCCACAGACTGAGTGAGGATGAGCTCCAGGTTTTCTTTGGGCCGGTGTTTCGTGTCCTCCACCAGCTTGTAGACTCGGTGTCGCCGGTGGAGGCGAGGCTTTCGGCCCTCCCCGGCCAGCGGCACCTTCCACCAGCGCTCTACGACGACTGTGCCCTGTATCAGGGAAGATAAGATAAGCCAGCCCCACACTGTCGTCCTGTCATGCCCACTCGCACCAAGGGAAAACAACCCCAAGGACAAGCTCCTGCAAGCTTCAGTACTTCAGCAATAAATTGCCTCACCAAAGTCAAGGCTCCCTTAACCCAAACCAAGCTCTCACCCGATGGTGAGAAAGACTGAAGTCGCGCTCTAGACTCCCTTCAAGTCGCAGCCAGAGTAGATCCCAGACTCCTCCCAGCAGTCGCTCAGCTCCTCGCCGCAGCAGAGATCTGCCGGGTGACACAATGAGGGCCACCATGTTGCCAGGGCAGAGGGCGACCTGAGCAAGGACCCCAGCGCCGAGAGGCAGGAAAGGCCCTGCTGGGGCTGCCCGCGGCGCGCCTGAGCCGGCGCGGCGTTGTCTGGGCTGGAGCAGAGAGGAAAAAGAGGGTCATTTCGTCGCTACTTCTCCAACACTCTTTTAAAAATCTGAAAGAAATACTCTTTGATTCAGCATTTCTCTCCCCTCCTTTTTTTTTTTTTTTTTAAGCGGGAGGCAGAGTAGGTGGCTGTGGAGGGGACCCATAATTATTGATAGACAATGGAGCATTATTAGGTGGACTGTTGCTTTCAAGCTCTAGGGGTGAAGCCACTTGTAATTCTGAAATTCTATGACGACACTGATGGAACTTTTCAAATTTATCTAAAAGTAGTTGAAGCATGGGAACTTATGGAAATCCGCCGACCCCGGGAAAAGTCTAATCCTTAGTCGTTACATTGCAATATTTGAAGGATTTTGAGGCACAAGGGATCTAAGCACTAGAAAAATGGAACTACGGTAGGGCCAGAAACTTAAGGAATGCACCAATTTCCTAAGGAACATAAACATTATGTACTAATAAAACAAAACAAACCAAACACAAACCATCATGAAAGTCTGTTTGGCAAAGAAGACCAGAAAGATGCTCTATGCTTCAACATAAGAGACCTTTTCTTGGCTTCCAGGACTTTTTCACAGTCTCCTTTGATGATTCATCTTTCTCCTCACTTTTTAGTGTCCCCGGTACTCATTTAGTCTTTGACATTGGCTTTTCACAACATATACTCTCCTCATCTAGTTGTGGCTTGCAATACTATTTATATACCATTGATTTCCAAATTTCTATCACCATTCTAGACTTCTCACAAACTCCATATTAGAATATCTAGCTACTTATTTGTCATTTCCCCCTTACATGTCTTAACAGACATCTCAAAGTTACCATCTCCCGGATTAAACTGATTTCTGACCCATCTCCTCCAAACTGCCCCACCTAGTGTTTCCCATTTCAGTTGACAGAAACCCGTTCTTTCAGGTTTTGGATTTATTTTAAATCCTCGACCTCATAGTCCATCAGGAATTCCTGTGGGGTCTATCTTGAAACTCTTTACAGAATCCAACCACTTATTACCACCTTCAGTGCTGCACTCTGAAAAATATTTTATAGATTACTGCAGTGGTCTTCCAACAGATCTCTACAGCTTATATCAATCAGGATATTTTAAAATTTTTATGTATTTATTAAGACAGGATCTCACTATAGATTAGGCTAGCCTTGAAATCATGAGGTAGCCCATGCTGGCCTCAAACTGGTTGTGATTCTCCTGCCTCAGCCTCTTGAGTGCTGGGATTGTAGGCATTTACCACCTGGCCAGAAGGATACTTTTTAAAAACCTAAGTCATATTGTGTCATTCTTGCACACAAAACTTTGCAATAACTTTCCCTTTACTCTGAATAAAAGGTCATATGAAAGTCTACAAGGCCTGTCCGCTTTGGCCCCATTAGCTCTCTACCTATAGTTTACACTGTCCCACCAGGTGGCTAAAGCCTTGCTGTTTCTTGAAAACCCTAGACATATTTCTTACTGGGAGCAATTGTACTGGAATGCTCTTATCTCTAGATACAGTCTTAACTTCCGCAGTCTCTGATTTAATGCCACCATTCTGTGAGACACACTCTGAACATCTTGTTACCACATCCTTGCACCATGCCTTCACACTTTGGATCGATCCTTCTCTATTTCTGCACTCCCCCAACCCACATAGCTATCTACTAACATTACTTCCTAGGTTTGTTCTCTTCCAGAAGAGTTCTACAGGGCATGGATCTTTATTTTGTTCACTTAAGTATTCCAAACACCTAGGCCCTCAGTCTTTACCAGAGAGACAAATGAATGTGTGAAGGCCTCAAACTGATGACCACAGAACCAAATTTTGCTCACAATTTCAGTTTCTTTCATCTCTTTTGTTAATAGTTAATATTTAGGCTGTGGGGAAATTCTTCCCAAGATAGTTTATGTTGAAAAATCATCAGATCTGATATTACTATCTGCATTCCTGCATGGCAACCAGATGGAGCTGAGTCCTGATGTTTACACAGGATAAGAGCTTCCCATTCTGCTATAGTGTCACTTGGCAGCTCCACCAGTTTCCATTAGCTGCTTGGGCCCCTGGAGGTGTTTGGGGATTCATACTCTAACTGCCAATCAAGAAAGTTTAATAATCTATACCTCCTCTGGGTTAAGGGCAGAATGAACACTGAACTGGGAACCAGTCAGTTCAATGAAGGATCAAGGCCCTGGAAGCCTCCTGAGGTGTCAAGACACCAACCCTTTAGCTGCTGGAATTTAGGAAAAAGGAGTGTCCTAGAGGAAGGGACAGGGTAGGTGAGCACAAGTGCTTAGACAAGGCTGTTTGCCAATCAGTAGGGAAGTTTTAAAGAGTTTTAACCATTGGTACAGGTGTAAAGTACATACTAGTTAACTGTGAGTCAGGACTGTGACTATGAGCCTGGTTAAGGGTAGGGTGAGGTAGGAGAGCAGCAGCCCTCAGTGATGCAGGGGTGACCTCATGTCTATGTCACAGAGCCCACCACATCACAATGGACAAGGTTGCCTAAACCTTTGCCCCTCTTCCCTGACCCTCACTTTGCCGCTGGGAGGCACTGAACAGAGAAACTGCCTTGTAACAGGTCCCGCCCCTCTCTCTACTCCCTTTCTTATATCAAGAGGGGAAAAACACGGAACTACCTCTACCCGATCTGGTCACCATACGCCTATTACCTTTACTGTTACAAGTACCGGGTCACCCTCCGGGAGAAGATGCTGCCTTGTTGTTATAAAAGGTACTTGTTTTCGTCTGTTTATAGTTTATATAAAATGTAATGAGAAAAATTTGAAATCTTCCCAAATGGCAGGAAGTAATAGTAAAATAGAGTGGAAGGCTGGCATGAAACTTTTAGAATTTTTCCATTTTGCTGGCCTAGGAAAACAGAAAGGTGTTGATCCACCAACAGTATATAAGACAGGTTTTCTGCATGTCAGGAAGTTGTCTTTCCTTTTCTCAGATTCCAAGATAAATTTGGGTTTTTCTTTTCCACAGCGTCACTTATAAGGAAGAGGAAGACCTGACACTCCGGCCGCGCTGCTGCCTACATTGCTCCTGAGAACCTAGCAGGTCTCCAGGTGGGAGGGAGCACTGAGCAGGGAAAAGATCAAGACCAGCTCAAAGTACTGTACTCAGTAAGTGAACTACGAGCTTCCTGAAATGGAAGGCACAGGAGGGCCACGGCCTACCTGGAAAATGAATCAAAATTAGAGCTAGCAAAAGCTATCTAGTTACTTTTTAGGCAAGGGCTCGGGGAGATCATAAGTCTAGGTGATACAGTGGCTAATGAGAAAAAAGCATAGGAAAAGAGGAAGCAGGAACACAGGGGAGCTGAGACACAGAATCCCAAGTTCAGGTTCTGCCTGGGCAACTCTTGGGACACATAGCCTCAACATTTAACATTTTTAAAGGGGGACGGGTGCTGGGTAGAGTACTCTGGGTTCCAACCCCAGTACCATGAAAATCAATCACAACATTAGGATCCTAAACAGTTAGTTAGTACAGCACAGGGATAGGTGAGCCTTCAATAAAAAAGTCCAGAATCCAGGTTTGATACAAGAAGAACTCAGCAGTGGATAGCTATTAGTTCCTCAGATTAAGGGAGACTTTGGCTCCACTTCTCCCAGGCTCCTGCATCTACCTGCTCCCTTCTTCCATGGATATCCCAAAATCTCCCTGAGATCTACTTGGAGGATGTGATGAGCACAGAAACCGGAGACCATTGCTTTCATTTTTATTTCTTTTTTTCAGGCTGGGAACCTGACAGTGCTTTCTCCTGTCCCTCTGCTCCACCAGGATCCTGTACAGATCGACTTCCACTTCCACCTCACCCCCAACACCTCTGTCCATTGGCACGGCCTTCTTTGTGACCATCGACTCTTCCTGGATATCCCATATCAGGCTTTGGACCAAGTCAGTCGAGAAAGGTGACTGAGTTGCAATGGGACAGTGGGGAGGGAAGTTTACTTTCTGTCATGTCATGTCACAATCAGAAAGTGGGGCTGCATACACACAAACCACCCAGGTGGCACAGAGACAAGCCTGAGCTGAGCTAGGGTCTGGGGTTCAAAGGACAGCAGTCAATGGGAAGCTGCTGGACTCAGATTCAGAAACAAAGTGGGAATTGAGACAGGAACTAACCAATAGTAGTTTCCAGCCATGTAAGAACCGCTTCTTCCTGGATCTTCTGTGACCTACACCTCAGTCTGTGTGCAGTCCCTTGGCTTCTGACAAAAAACTACCAGAACTAGTTTAGCAACTTTTATTTTCTGATGTGGATAGGTAGAAAGTGACCAGTAAGATTTCTTTTGCTTCCCTTAGTTTTTTTTTTTTTTTTTTTTTTTTAAGATTCTGCTTTAGCTAAACATCTCTCTGTACCCTAGTTTGACAGCAACACTGGAGTATGTGGAGGAGAAGACCAGTGTGGACTCCGTGTTTGTGAACTTCCAGAACAACCGGAAGGACAAAGGTGGGGATCTGCTGTCATGCCTTGCTCTCTGTACTGAGGCAGCTAACAGAGCCTTTTCTTTGAAGATAGGAAGCCCCCTTCCTCTGCTTTGTAAGGAGCCAGCCTCCAGCATTTCAGTGATTTTCTTCCTTCACACCACAAAGGAAATGAAGGCACCTGTTCCAGCTGGACATTCAGATTACAGCTGAACTATCAAGAAGCCCTGCAGGCAATGTCAGAGATCAAACAGGGAGCATTGGTGAAATTACACAGACTCCACTCGAGGAATATGATAGTCAGTCTGACAGAAAAGAGCATCAAATGCATCAGGCACCTACAGTGTGGCAGGGTTGGGCATGAGGCCAGGAACATATTTAACCGGATGCCCATAGCATGTGTTATGGGAACTGGTCACTTGAGATTCTAGAGTCCAGAAGTTTACTTAGTTGGATGTAAAACAAAGCATGCTCAACGTGGTATC